CACGACAAGCATTGCTTGAATCACGTGAACGAGAAAAATCTCTTAAGGCAAGAATGCAGGAGGAGATCAAGAGGCAAGTGCAGCTAGCAATGAGTCAAATGCAATCGCAATCAACGTTGGGAGTCACCATTAGCCCCGTTGGTCAGATGAAAAGCAGTTGTGCTTCTACGGAGCTGCCAGTTATTCAAGACGACGCTGGGTTGCGCTTCCCTGTTGATGACATTACCGAGCCTCTAACAACATGTGAGCTGCACATTCCAGATGGTAATAATGCATCAATCATGGTGGTTGTCGGGGTTGTATCTCCAATAGACCAAACGAAGACACCAAGAATCCATGGGTCAGTTATTCAACCTGGATATGCTAGCGTCTCGATCGATAGAGTGCTCAAAGGTTACAGACAATGTTCCTCTTGACATTGAAGGCGGTGATGGGAGAAGACACTAGGAGAAGCGGAGAAGACATTTATTCAATGGCGCAAACGCTTCATCATCATTCTGGGCGCCACCGCTTCCCTACCTCACCCTAGGTACGAATGAAAGTGAATGAAATATTATTTTCCATTAATTTTCTATTGGCTTCAAAAATAATTGACACACAACTTGTTTTTGGAGCAGGTCTCCCACCTAGCCTAATCATTCATTCCCCATCTCATCACAATGTCGCATGGGCGAGACGACTTCATCCCCACGGCAATCGCCAACTCCTACACCGCCCCATCGCCTCCACAACGATCTCCAACTCCTACACCGCCCCACCGCCGCCCCACAACGATCTCCAACGCCTCCACGCCGGTCTCCAACACCGCCCCACCCCCTCCCAATGACGCACTACAAAGGCGTCTAAGGTCCCGTGCAAAGAAGACCCCGAGAGAAAGAGTTATTTCTCAAGAAATACTTCTGAAAAGACCGATGAGCAAATAGCGGTGAAGAAGATAAAAAGTGAAAGATTTTTTTTATAGATATAAAAAACAAGAGTCAAGCGAAGCTTAAGGAGAAGCCGTACTTTTTTACATACCACGAGATGTCTTTGAAAGGGAAGGTCGATGCTCACAAGAAAAAGATGATTGAACTTCGTAAGTCTTCGCCACTATCGGACTATGACCGCGCTCCCTCGTGAAGTCACATGATGCAGATAAGAAAAGGAAAAGAGCATCAGGGAAGGATGTCCCACAGCTCGGACAACAGAAGCAACCAATGCAAAATCTTGTTGTTGCTAATGAATATGGTTCCAACATAGAAGTCTATCGACCAGACAACTCTGGAGAAGTGTCGGTTCAAGCCCTTAATGCTTTTTTTGAAGATACTGGTTTAACCTTGGATCAATTGACGGGCAAAGCTCCAATCCAGAACCTGAAAATTGATGCCTAGAAGACTTATAAATATGGCAAAAGTCTGTACAACCCTGCTCTGAATGAATTGGGTACGCAAATGTACTTACTCAACAAGTGGTTCATGCAGGCGTGTGGCAGGGGTGAGCAGTGGATCTTTGTCAGATTTAGAGACCATCATTACTTCCGTGGTGATGACATCTTACATATTAGTTTCGAAGAATTGCATCAACTATACCACTTGGACGCTCTGGACAAATCAATCATTAGCTCCTTTTGTTTGTAAGTGATTCTTATTTTTATTTAATAAACTCACTTCCATGCATACGTATATATAATTATCCTCACATGTAACTTATATTTATATACAGATTCCAGATGTCAGAGCTCCAAAGAATACAAGACACCAGTGTTGGCTTCATTGATCCTTATATCGTATTCAAAATCGGTATTATTATCAAGGAGCGGTGGGTATATCCGAAGCACGAGGAGAATATCATGATGTTCTTCGTGAAGCAAAGACGACAAGACAACAATACTTTTCCCGTACAACTTTGAGTAAGTGTTAATAATAATGTAGTCTACACATTTTATGTAATATCAATACAACTTATATGCATATACGTGTGTGTATAAACCAATGCAGTTTTCACTGGATACTCATTGTCATTGAGTTAAACTCAAGTCGGTTAGTAATCTTTGACTCGTTGAGAAAAGAGCGGGCACTATACCAAGATATGATAGACATTATTCAGGGGTAATTTCGATCTCTCGCGCACAACTATTATTGAATAGACTTTGCCATAATTTATTAACGATCGTACATTATTGGTCGCACAGGGTTTGGAAAGAGTTTATTCGGCAACATCGCAAGGATTACAAGGCACCACTTAATGTAGTTGAAATACAAGTAAGTTGTACTATATACACTTCCCCACGTGTTTAATTACTATATCGTACTTCAATTTACGTGTGAGATGATGAGAATAATCTTCTTCTCTAAGACAAATTGGTGTTTTTGGCGACAACTGTGTAATAACTTGTGTGGATACTACGTTTGTGAATTTATCATCTGCAAGCACATAAGAAGAACTCCTAAAGATGTCCTCGAGTAATACGTATATATCAATTTTTATTTATTTTTAAATGAATATATATATATATGTATTAATAATTTTCCTTTTATTTCAAATGCAAGACTGAATGGTTGAAACGAAGGGTCATGCAAAAAGACCATCTGAAAGCAGTTCAAGAGTCAATAGTAGGATTTCTTCTAGAAAAAGTGCTAAATCCCAACGGCGAGTTCTACTTTGATCCTAAGGAATAAATTGTGTAAATTAAATGTTTATTGATATCGTTATTTTCGAGAACAAGATTATGAAAGTGTTGTATATATACATATATATATATATATATATATATATATATAGGTTCATACTTTATTCGAATATAATAGTGCTCGAGATGAGAATTAGATGTAATTATATGCGTGCGTGTATTTATATTAGCAGCGTAGAATACGTACATAAAAACATATTATATATTAAACAAATACGTGTAACTGAACTGAAAACAAATTAAACAAAAAAAAAGAAAAAGAAAAGGAACCTTTAGTCCCGGTTGGGGTTACCAACCGGGACTAAAGAGTGCGGCCACGTTTGCTCGGCTGGAGGGCCTTTAGTCCCGGTTGATAACACCAACCGGGACTAAAGGTGGCACCTTTAGTCCCGGGATCGTTGTCCCGGCGATGTAATCGGGACTAAAGGCCGTTACCGCCCGGGACAACAAGTCCAAAGACCATAGTTTCTGAAAACTAGTATAATATCAAATAATCCTCCTAGATCACCTAGATACATAGAAATATACTCAAGGTTCACCCATCAGGAACACATATAATGATCCTAGACATTAGTGACAACCAAACTCATAGTCTGAGAAGAGGGTGTGAAGGCGAAAGGTGGTAGGCATGAAAAGGTGCAAGAATGGTGATAGGGTCGGGTTGCCTTATTTTTCTATTGTTTGTCCAGATGAAATATAAAAGAATAGTCTATTGTTCACTGATCTGGGATTATTCATATTTTAGTGTTCTAAGGTCCCTTGAACAATGTACTCACTGATTTGAGGGATCTTTTATGAAATAGTCAGCAGAACTGTCTTAAGTGCTTAGTTTTTGCAGTTTAAGCATTGATGTGGGCACGGGTTATGTTTTTATAATGCTATGATTTTTTGGTAACTGGGTTATACATAATTTGTTTAGGTAGGTCAGAGAAATTTAAGGCTTGGATTACACATTTCCCCCTTCTTTCAGGGCCACGGATGTCCTGGGCTATCAGAGACCGCTTATGCTGTGTGCATATCAGAGTGTTGCTCGTGTGGATGCAAGCATAGCCTCATTCTGCTTGGTTCAGTCATGTCTTGCCATGCTTTGTATTGGTATGTACTAATTTATTGCTTGCTCACTAAGTCCCTGTGGTTCAGTATGAGTATATATATATGACGTTCACGACATTGACATGGTCTATTAGTGTGGTACTTTGACTGGCATTTTCTATGAATAAAGATGATTAATCATGGTCAATCAAGTAACGCATATCTTACATTGTTAGTCTATGTATTTTTTATGTATTACTGGTTAATTGTAGTTGTATAGCAACTATCAATGAATACAACATGCTAGTGCTCGATGGTGTTCTGCTTCGAAGTACTGGCACTGTTAGGAAGGAATGGAAGTTTTAGTTTGTGACTTTAATTCTTCTTTAGGTTTGTGGACATGGGAATTTCAATGCGATAGAGAAAGATAGTTTTAGATTAATATAGATATATACTGTTGGATGGTGTAAGATTTACATGTGTGTATGCATGTGTCTGTATATGTGGTGATCAAGCAACACAAATGGGATCTGAAGCACAGAAAGATAAATATTTGCCGTCATTGAGCAAACAGCAGAAAGTCTGTGCTTATGTAAGTCAAACAATCAATCCCATGGCACTTTGGCTAATTTAAGGGTTGGCTAACTAGCAAGTTTTTAACTGTCATTGTACATTTCCAGGCCTTGACAGAGCCGGACTATGGTAGTGATGCAAGCTCTCTGAACACTGTGGCGACAAAGGTGGTTATTTGACTAGTAGGCCCAACATATATAATTGCCATCAAGTGTGCATGTACATTATTTTGTGAAAAACATATATGCCCACATAAGCTTATAAGATCCAGTTGTTTCTGGATCTCCTCGTGTCTAACAAAATGCCATGGGGTTAGCCAAGCTAAGGCAAACTATTAAGACCATGCCAAGAAATCTGTCGTTAAGTTCAAATTTCTCGATTGTTGTTGACACACTGATTTAGACTTACCATCCAGTCTGTTTGGTCTTGTGAGTTGATCTGAACTTCTTGGATAGGTTCCTTGAGGGTGGGTCCTAAATGGTAGGAAACGGTGGCCTGGGAACAGCAGTTTTGCAGACGTATTAGTTGTTCTTGCTCGGAATACCATCACCAATCAGGTCAATGGGTAAGGAAGGCTATATATGCATTGGCATTGTCCATTGTTCACACCCCTATATAACTATGTATGTTAAAAGTATTTATGTTGAACGGAAATCGCAGTTTCATAGTGAACGGAGGGAGCTCTGGTCTGAAGATCAACAAGATCGAGAACAAGGTGTTGATGAGAATGGTTCAGAACTGCGACATCCAGCTGGAGGACGTGTTTGTCCCCGATGATGATCGCTTGCCCGGCGCCAATTCTTTTCAGGATCTTGTTGATGTAATAAATGGCCTTACTGTTAATTTTTTTCTCACTAATACATCTTAACAGAAAAATCATGTTAACAATAGCTTGATAGTCAAGAATTGGTCAATGAATATCATTAATCTATCTATGTTGTTCTTGTGTGCAGTCGCTTTCTTTCAGTCGTGTCATGGCTGCCTGGGTCAGCATTGGGATTGCAGTAGGGGTGTATGATGCATGTCATAGGTAATTCACTCCATCAGCAGCTTCCATTGCCAGTGGTTTCAGCTAGCATTCTTGCTGCGACTGTGTTGAACTACCCGGCCTATGTTTGATCAGGTACCTTGGAGAGAGGAAGCAGTTTGGTGTGCCACTGGCCACGTTCCAGCTGAACCAAGAGAAGCTCGTCAGGATGTTGGGCAACATCCAGGCCATGTGGCTTCTCGGCTGGCGCCTCTGCAAGCTGCATGGCTCTGGCAAGATGACCACAGGCCAGGCTAGCCTGGGCAAGGTCAATACTCAGTACGTTGGTGGCCTAGCTCTAAACTCGCTTTCTTTTCGCAGGCATGGATTACGAAGCTATCGGTTGATGTTGCATGCAGGCATGGATCACGAAGCAGGCAAGGGAGACGGTGGCGCTCGGCAGGGAGCTGCTTGGCGGCAACGGCATCGTCACCGATTTCCACGTGGGCAAGGCGTTCTGTGACATGGAGACTGTGTACACGTACGAGGGCAGCTACGATGTTAACGCGCTCATTGTCGCAAGGGAGATCTCTGGCATCTCCAGCATCAGGCCCACTAGCAGCAGGCTCTAGTGCCTGCTGCCCCGGCCCCTTCAAAAATATGTACATTTGTTGACAAAAATACATTTGTTTTGTTGTGGGAACAAGTGAGATTTAATAAACGTGATAAATTGTTTACAGTAGTGATAATAAGAATCATTTATTAATTCCCTCAAGTAGGTGAACCAGGAAACTATAGCTATGCTTGTATGCATGCATGTCAAGATTATTTAGGTGATGTTTTAGTTCAGCGTCGTGTAGGCAATGGTAATTAATGCGATCAGTTGCCGATGCTAATTGCTAACGTCCGCACGGAGCGTCCGTCCGCCCATACCTACAGTTTCCCGTGCCGTTTCGCGCGTCTACACGGGGACCGTGCCACCCCAAACATCACCAGCATCGATAAGAGGGGGAGGGGACGGACGATGCCCAGCCGGCGTTGGGAGAAGACGAGACACCGAGGCGAGACACCATAAAGCGAGGGTGATGCAACACCCGATCTACTTTTGAAACATTTAGATGTAACACTTGCAACATATGTTCAAGGCAGATAAGACACTTAGAACATGCATCTGAAACACTTGCAAAAACACCTGAAAAACACTTGAAAACCATTGTAAAACATACGCAATATCCAAATAAACACACTTGCAACATATGTGTGAAACATATACAACATCCAAATAAACACACTTACAACATACGTCTGGAAAAACAGATGAAACATTGGGAACAGAAACTTGCAACATACGTGTACAACCATTGCAACATCCCGGTCTATTTTTACAACATCCGCATGAAACACTTGCAACATATCTTTGAAACATCTGAAATACTTAAAACATACGTTTGCAACATGTGTTTTTCACCGTTCTGCCCTACGACATAGCGCAGAGCTGGGGATGGGCAGGCGGAGGGCAGCGCCGTCATGGCCGCTTCTGGAGGCGAGCCGAGGGTGCGTGTGGGGACAGGCTGCCGGCGAGCTTTGACCGCGCTGCGGGCTACCGTCGTCGCAGGCGGCCGGAGAGGGAGGTGGGGACATGGCGGCAATGGACTCTGTCCGGGAGGAAGGGGCCGGTCGCAGGCGCAAGCGGCTGACGGCGAGCTCTGGTCGGGCGAGGGCGGCTGGGAAGAAGGGGCTAGCGGGGAGCTCTGGCCGGGCAAGGGACGGGAAGAAGGGGCTAGCGGCGGGTGCAGCATCCAGCGGCGGACGCAGCAGCTGGTGGAGGCGCCGCAGGAGAGGTGTGGGATGGAGGTGCCATGTCGTAGGATGGAGGTACCTTGTGGATTTTTTTTAGAGCGTGTCCGGACTGGGAGTCACGTGATTGACGTCCGTGGTGTATCATTATCGAATTAGAATCGCTACTTGTTTGGTTCGCTCCTACAGTGCTTTCCATTTGCGTTTGGTTGGAACCACACAAAAATGAGTGATCAATAATAACAAAGACAATTTCTATTCTGTGATAGTACTGCACACACAAAGAGCACAAAAGCATCTCACACTTTATCTATGAAATAAAGCATCTAACACTTTATTATCTACACATTGCCAAAACTTTTCTAGCATAATAAAAAGAAATCAAAAAATTTCAGAACTTTGCATGTGCAAGAGAAAGGACTTCAGAAATTTGCACCCTTTTACGAATAAAAAACTCAATAGATGGTTCAAAATTTTGATAAACGGTGAACAAATTTATAACTAGTGTTTCTATGTTCATTAATTAGGGTACCAACTAAGTAAAATGATGTGGCATTGGAATGAAAAAAAAAGAGATGGAAAAATAGATTCTTCCATAAGAAAATGTCTACATGAGAACCAATATATGAAAAGATGTAACGGATAGATAATAGAGAGAAGACATGATTAGATACAAATTATTTTGAAGAAATTATCCATTGGAAAATATGGTTCCTATACATGATTTAAGAGGCATAGAAACTAGTAGCTGTGATTCTAGCACTGGGACTGTTCTAACCAGATCCTGATTCGGAGAACTAATCACGCCCTGAAGATGTCGGAAGCTTATTTTGGCTGACCTGCTCTGCAGGCATTATTCTCCAGTAAAAAGCACTACTCAAACGAGAACATTACATACGTAACAAGCTTCCTGATTAGCAAGAATTGCAACGTGAACAACTCAAAAGCTGGCCAAATAGGCTTTCTCATAGACTCGTGTAACATCAACCCAACAGATTTCTTCAAGTGCTGTACGCTGAGCAAGTCCTGGAGCTAATCTCAGCTGTTTAAATACTGATCGGCCCGACGTTCAGAGCATGGCCGGCCAGATGACAGATTCATCTAACCTATTCTATAACCCATATGGATTTCCAATAATCAGAGCAGAATTCTTACTATTTCCTAAGATCGACCTGTGGTCCTCTTGGCCAAAAAAATATAAAACATTTATTCCCACCAGGTTCGTAGGGGATTGTGGAAAGAATAAATCACTCCATAGTAACCATGTTCCGATGGAAAAACATCTCTCAATGGATTCACTTCTCCGCAGGAGGTTGAGGTGGTGGTGGAGCTGCATGGGACTTGCACGCGGTGCAGTCTGCTGGTGGCGGAGCAGGTGTGTTGTCTGGAATGCTTACCCTCATTGTTCGGTGTTTACCATCTTCAGTATGAATATCAAGGATGGCATCCATTATCAGTATCTCCCAGTCAGCGGGCTGCAGAAATGAATACCAAGATTCATCTGCAAGAAACAAAAAAGCGATAAGATACATATTAAGTTGCGAATAAAAACTAACCGTCACTCAATATGTTCATACCAGTGGCCTAATACAAAAATCTCTTTAGTTAGGTGGCTTGTGCTTCTGTATCTACATGACGTCCAAAAAAATGCCGCGAAAAAAATAAGCAATCATTTTATTCCAAGGAAACATATTCTAGTTGATGAACTGAAGCTCTCAGAGTATCTTTGAAGTGGAAAATCATAACTCAATAGGATCAGAAGTAGGCACAATGACTAGTATCACTCCACTGAGCAAATCACAGCACCATGATAGCCTGTCTTAACCACAAGTCATACAATTTCAAAAATAAAGAATGAAATAGTGGAACACATTTAGGCCCAGACGTTTTCAGCTCTGGCATTCTGTACCCTTCTTGAGCAGAAAACATGGAAGCTTATTAACAAGTGTGGACGCAGAAAAAGGAAATACAAAGTATGAAGGTTGATGTGGACATTACAGTCGGTGTTCAAAAAGGCGACGTTCCGCGGCCGCCTAGGCGCTAGGCGAAGGGGTCCTGCGGGGCCTAGGGGGGTAGGCAGACCCCTAGGCGGGCGCAACGCCTCCGCGGCGCCGAAGCGGCCGAGGCAACGCAGAGGCGAGCGCGTGCACTTTTTCGGCCAAAGCAGAAGTGTGCGCGGACGCGGGAAAAGAAGGCACGGGGAAAGAAGTCAGTCGCGTGAGGACGAGCAGCTCCCGCCGTGCGCCGCCTGCGACGTCTTCTTCTGAGCTGCTCCTGTCGCCCGCAGTCGTGACGCCGACCAGCTTCCTCCCCGATGGTCTGCTTCCTCCCTGGCCCAAGGTAAGTTCCTCTCCCCTGCTCCTCTCTCATCTGCTGCTCCATGCCTCCGCCCTACCCTGCTCCTCTCTTCTTGTCCACTGCCTCCACCCTCTCTGCTCCAGTCTCCCCTGCTCCCTGTCTCTGAATGCCTAAAGTCTTATTGCTCTGAACTCTGATTGTCTGAACTCTGAAGTCTGAAAGTTTGATTGCTCTGAACTGATTGCTCTGAACTCTGAATGCCTGAACCTGAATGCCTCTGAATACCTGAACCTGTCAACCTAAATGCCTGAAAGTCAAATTCCTGATTGATCTGAACTCTGAATGTCTGATTGCCTGAACCTGAATGCGAAGTCTGAATGTCTTAGACAGTTAGACTTACAGTGTTTATGTTAGTGTGTTACTTGTTTAGTTGTTTTTTGTTTAGCATGAAGCTGATTGCCTGTATCTATGCTAGAGTTACTTGTTAGTTGATAGTTTTTATAGTACTTGTTTAGCTGATAGTTGTTAGTTTGTTATACATGTAGGATGTCGACATCAGAGCATGACACTCCTGAAAATGAGGCAGTGAATCTCCTCAAAAGAAATTCAGATGATGTGGGATAGAAATATGGAGTTTTGGTTGATGCTAAGAACAAGGACAAGGTGAAATACAAGTTCTGGAATCATCAGAGCCAAGGAGGAATTCATCAGTTGAAGCAACATGTGGCCCAACAACAACAACAACAAAGCCTTCAAATCCTAAATAAGTTGGGGTAGACTAGAGTTGAAACCCAACAGAAGCAATCAAGGTTCAGGCACGTGAATAGCTGTCTTCCAAGCACTCCTATCTAAGGCTCAGTCTTTGGGTATATTCCATCCTTTCAAGTCTCCTTTTATTGCCTCTACCCAAGTCAACTTCGGTCTTCCTCTACCTCTCTTCACGTTACTATCCTGCCTTAAGGTTCCACTACGCACCAGTGCTTCTGGAGGTCTCCGTTAGACATGTCCAAACCATCTAAACCGGTGTTGGACAAGCTTTTCTTCAATTGGTGCTGCCCCTAATCTATCACGTATATCATCGTTCCGAACTTGATCCCTTCTTGTATGACCGCAAATCCAACGCAACATACGCATTTCCACGACATGTCGTCTTTTCGTAGGCCAATATTCTGCACCATACAACATAGCAGGTCTAATCGTCGTCCTATTAAACTTGCATTTTAGCTTCTGTGGTACCCTTTTGTCACATAGGACACCAGATGCTTGCCGCCACTTCATCCACACTGCTTTGATTCTATGGCTAACATCTTCATCAATATCCCCGTCTCCCTGTAGCATTGATCATAAATATCGAAAGGTATCATTCCTAGGCACTACTTGACCTTCCAAACTAATATATTCCTCCTCACAAGTAGTAGTGCCGAAGTCACATCTCATATACTCAGTTTTAGTTCTACTAAGTCTAAAACCTTTGGATTCCAAAGTCTCCCGCCATAACTCCAGTTTCTGATTCACTCCTGTCCGGCTTTCATCAACTAGCACTACATCGTCCGCAAAAAGCATACATCAAGGGATGTCCCCTTGTATATCCCTTGTGACCTCATTCATCACTAAGGCAAACAAATAAGGGCTAAAAGCTGACCCTTGATGTAGTCCTATCCTAATCGGGAAGTCATCCGTGTCTCCATCACTTGTTCGAACTCTAGTCACAACATTGTTGTACATGTCCTTAATGAGCCCGACGTACTTCGTTGGGACTTTATGTTTCTCCAAAGCCCACCACATAACATTCCTTGGTATTTTATCATAAGCCTTCTCTAAGTCAATAAAAACCATATGTAGGTCCTTCTTCTTCTCCCTATACCGCTTCATAACTTGTCTTATTAAGAAAATGACTTCCATGGTTGACCTTTCGGACATGAAACCAAATTGGTTCATAGAGACCCGCGTTATTTCTCTCAAGCGATGCTCGATAACTCTCTCCCATAGCTTCATAGTATGGCTCATCAACTTAATTCCCTGGTAATTAGTACAACTTTGAATATCCCCTTTATTCTTGTAGATCGGTACCAATATACTTCTCCTCCACTCATTAGGCATCTTGTTCGATCGGAAAATATGGTTGAACAGCTTGGTTAGCCATGCTATAGCTATGTCCCCGAGGCATCTCCACACCTCGATTCGGATACCATCCGGTCCCATCGCCTTACCTCCTTTCATCCTTTTCAATGCCTCTCTGACCTCAAATTTTTGGATTCTCCGCACAAAGCGCCTATTGTTGTCATCAAAAGAGTCATCCAACTGAAAGGTTGTGTCAATATTCTCACCATTGAACAATTTGTCAAAATACTCTTTCCATCGATGTCGGATCTCATCCTCCTTCACCAAAAGATGCTCCCTATCATCCTTAATGCACTTAACTTGGTTGAAGTCCCTTGTCTTTCTCTCACGAACCCTAGCCATCCTATAAATGTCCTTCTCTCCTTCCTTCATACTCAAATGTTGGTACAGATCCTCGTACGCTCTACCTTTTGCCACACTTATAGCTCGCTTTGCAGTCTTCTTTGCCACCTTGTACTTCTCTATGTTGTCCACGCTCCTATCATGGTACAAGCGTCTATATCATTCTTTCTTCTCCTTAATAGTCCTTTGGACTTCCTCGTTCCACCACCAAGTATCTTTAGCCTCGCCTCCACTTCCTTTGGCTACTCCACACACCTCTGAGGTCTCCTTCCGAATGTTGGTTGCCATCTTCTCCCACATGTTGTTTATGTCCTCTTCTTCCTTCCAAGAGCCCTCTTTGATAACCCTTTCCCTGAATACCTCTAACGTCTCCCCTTTCAGTTTCCACCACTTTGTTCTTTCAATCTTAGCTTGTTTATCCCTACGGGCACGCACTTAAAAACGAAAGCCCGCCACCAAAAGCTTATATTGAGAAACAACACACTCCCCTGGTATCACCTTGCAACCCAAGCATGCTCGTGTGTCCTTTCTTCTTGTGAGGACAAAGTCAATCTGGCTAAAGTGTTGTCGCTACTGAAGGTCACTAGATGAGATTCTCTGTTTCTAAAGAAAGTGTTGGCTATCATCAGGTCAAAAGCTACCGTGAAGTCCAGAACTTCCTCCCCCTCATGATTCCTACTACCATACCCAAAACCTTCATGAACTGCCACGAAACCTAGGCTTGTAGTACCTACATGCCCATTAAGATCTTCTCCTATAAAAAGCTTCTCACTACTAGGTACAGCTCTAATCAGACCATCTAAGTCTTCCCAGAACTGTCTCTTAGCACTCTCGTCGAGGCCTACTTGGGGGGCATACGCACTAATTACGCTCAAGACCATATCACCAACGACAAGCTTGACCAAGATAATCCTATCTCCTTGCCTTCTCACTCCCACCACACCATTCTTGAGGCTCTTATCAATCAAAACTCCTACTCCATTTCTATTCGCGACTGTCCCTGTGTACCAAAGCTTGAAACCTATATTGTCCACCTCCTTCGCCTTCTGGCCCTTCCATTTAGTCTCTTGAACGCATAATATATTTACACGCCTCCTAGTCGCGGTATCAACTAATTCTCTTAACTTATATGTAAGCGACCCTACATTCCAACTACCTAAACGGATCCTAATTGGTTCGACTAGCTTCCTTACCCTTCGCACCCGTTGACTTAGATGTGAAGACCCTTGCTCATTTTTCACTACACCCGGGCGCCGATGTAGCGCGCCACTAAGGAAGCGACGACCCGATCCTTGCTTACTTGACACCATTCCTAGATCACAACATGGCGCGTCACCAAGGGGGTGCCGACCCGGCCCTTGCCCATTTAACACCATACCCGGGTTTCGATATGGCGTGTCGCTAAGAGGGTTACGCCCCAACGATTTTCTTTCAGGTTTCATCTCCATTAGAATGGCTAGATTTAACGTTGGCTCGCCACGCCTATTACAGCCCTCCTTCTTTACTAGGGCTTGGGACCTGCTATGTTGAGACAACATGTTGGATAAAATGTGAAGAAATGCAGGAAGAGCACACAGGAGGCTAAAGACAAGTGCAAGAAATCACTAGATGAATCAAAAAGGAAGAGGAAGGATGTGAAGTTGTGTTTGAGCATTTTTGAGCCATTGGTCAAAGTTCTACTTTTGGTTGATGGGGATGTGAAGCCATCAATGGGTTTCCTATATGGAGAACTATTGAAGGCAAAGAGAGAGATCAACAAGGCCTATGGCAATGTTGAGTCCCGTTACAAAGATGTTATTGCTAACATTGACAAGAAGATGAAAGGAAGACTTGATTCTCCTTTGCATTTGACTGCCTATCTGCTAAATGCATACTATAGTTATGGTAACCCATCAATCTTTGATGATGCCATAATAACAGAAGGAATTATCAGTTATCTAGAGACTTTTTATCATCATGATGAGGATAAGCAAGATCAGGCTGCCAACACTGAACTAAAGAAGTTTCAGAATAGAGAAGGACCATTTAACAACAAGCTTGCAAAGACTTGTGAAAACTTTTATTACAACCTAGGTAACTGATATCCCATGGATGTTTATGCAGTTTGCTATTTGCATCCATTGTAACTGATATTACAAGCTATTTTTCATTTATTTCAGCATCTTGGTGAAGGCTGTATGGAACTAAAACACCAGCTTTACAGAAGATGGCAACAAGTATCATATCTCTGACATCAAGCTCTATGTAAGACAAAATCTGCTGCTCCCAAATTCTCTCTTTGCTACAGATTAGGATTAGATTTTGGTCAGCATGGTTGTCCCCTCCCTAGTCCTATAGCTTGTAAGGCAATAGGCCATCTAGTACTTGTAGTTGGTAGAACTACATTAGCCATGTCTTGGTAGCGGGCTGATAAGCCAACGTACTAGTAGAACTTAAGAGTAGGTAGTTGGTGTACTCACCATACCTCTCTGTATCTAATAGAGGTACTAGCTTATGTATATATACTATGCCAATGCAATGAGAAAAAGTAGTTCAGTTGCCACAACCAGAGGCAGAGTCTTGGCCAGCGCTGGAGCTTCTGCAGTGTATGTGTGTGTGCTGTGCTCACCTCTTCTTCTACCTCTAGCCATACTGAGTGAGTGTGTGTGCTGGTAAGCTTACTGCTTACCTGGGCAGGACAGCGAGGGACCAACAAGTGGTATCGGAGCCATACAGCGGCGTCGCCGAACTAACCGCCGGCAACGATGGCGGGTGATCATGGCTCAGAGACGAGCGACAGCAGCGGCGCTGCTGGGGCTTCCCAACCATGACAGAAGGTCGTGCGTGCGGTGCGGGAGGTCAGTGGCACCAGTTGGCTGACGCTGACTCGCACCAACTATGGCGAGTGGGAGATGACCATGAAGGTCAAGCTCAGAGCTCGACGGCTCTTGAATGCCATTGACAAGAGCATCGATAATGAAGAAGATGACATGTCAACAATGGAGGCTATCCTCACTACCATGCCAGTGGAGTACGGGGAGCCGTTGGGGGCAAAGAAGTCTGCTAAGGAGGCGTGGGAGGCCATTACGGCGATGCGCATTGGTTCCGACCTTGCAAAGAAGGCAATGGCCCAGCTACTAAAACAGGAGTACGCCAACCTCAAGTTCTGCGATGGTGAATCGGTGGAGTACTTTTCCCTCCGCCTGCAGTCGCTCATCAGCAAGCTAGGGAGCCATGACATCACCATCAACGAAGAGGAAGTAGTGTCCAAGTACCTCCACTCCGTACCGGTGAACTACATCCAGATCGCACTCTCAATAGAGAAGATGCTGGATGTGTCCACCCTCACCATTGAGGATGTGACCGACCGTCTGCGGGCGGTGGACGAGCGCATGGAGCAGGCCACGGCAACGATGGACAGCGGCAAGCTATTGCTGACGGAGGAGTGGGCGGCCTGGATGAAAGAGAAGAAGAAGAAGTCACGTCAAGGGCGGTGGCGACGGCAAGCGCCACGTCAAGGCTTCTTCGGAGAAGAAGAAGAAAGTCGACCCCCACGCCTGCCGGCGCTGCGGGACGACAGGCCACTAGGCGAAGGAGTGCCCAAGCCGCAAACAGGAGAAGAAGGCTGAGACCCATCTAGCGTAGGCTGATGATGAGGATGAGGCCACTCTCCTGATGGCATCATTCTGTGCCCTGCACAATGTCGAAGCGGAGGAGAAAACAGAGGAGGTGGTGATGGCGGAGCAGGGGAAACTCTGAAGGTTGTCGACCTCGAAGAGCCGCGCGCTCAAGTCCATCTCGAACGTGTGGGCGGCGAGGAGCAGAGGCAGTACCTAGACTCCGGGGCCAGCAACCACATGACGGGCTCCAAGGAGGCCTTCTCCGGGCTCAACGGGGACATGACTGGCATGGTGAAGTTTGGCGATGGCTCTAGGGTGGTGATCCGATGGCACGGCATCATCATCTTCAGGTGCCAGAACGGCGAGCACCGCGCACTGACGGATGTGTATTACATCCCACAGCTGCGTTAAGGATGGCGTCCTCAGGATCAGGGATCGGGAGCAGTGGCTTCTCACTAAGGTGAAGAGGTCCCGAAACCAGCTGTACCTGCTCAACTTGAAGGTGGAGTAGCCCATTTGCCTACTGGCGCGGCGCATCAGAGGAGCCGTGGCTGTGGCATGCCCGGTTCGGCCATCTTAGCTTTGACGCCCTCGGCAAGCTAGAGAAGATGGTTCGGGGACTACCTCACATCGAGCACGTAGGCGAGCTGTGTGACAGCTGCCTGGCCGGGAAATAGAGGAGGCTATCTATCTCGAAGACGGCGAAGTACCGCGTGGCAGAGGCCCTCGAGCTGGTCCATGGTGACTTCTGCGGGCCGATCACACCGATGACGCACGGCGAGCGCAAGTACTTCATCTTGCTTGTGGATGACTACAGTCGGTACATGTGGCTATAGCTTTTGACGAGCAAGAGCGAGGCGGTGGAGGCGATCAAGAGGTTCAAGGCGCGTGTAGAGGATGAGAGCGGGACGAAGCTGCGCGTGCTGAGGATGGATCGTGGCGGTGAGTTCACCTCGGTGGAGTTTGCCGCGTACTACGCAGATCAAGGGGTGGTGTGCCACCACACCGCGCCGTACATGCCACAGTAGAATGGTGTGGTGGAGCGGCGGAACCAGACGGTGGTCGGCATGGCGAGGTCGATGATGAAGGCCAAGAAGATGCCAGTAGAGTTCTGGGGCGAGGCAGTGACCACGGCGGTGTTCATCCTCAACCGCGCGCCCACCAAAGCCCTGAAGGGCAAGACACCATTCGAGGCTTGGCATGGGTGCAAGCCAAACATGTCATTCTCAAAACGTTCGGCTGCATCGGCCATGTGAAGAACACCAAGCCTCACCTCGGTAAGCTGGAGGACAGGAGCATACCCATGGTGCTCCTAGGCTACGAGGAAGGCAACAAGGCTTATCGGCTCTACAATCCCAAGGGAGGCAAGGTGATGATCTCCAGGGATGTGGTTTTCAACGAGACGGTGGCCTGGGATTGGGAGGATTCAGGCACGGGGGAAGCCGGTGGCGTCAGCGGCACGTTTGTTGTCGAACACCTAGTGATCCAAGGAGGAGATGCTGGCGTTGGAGAGTAGACTACAGATGGCCAGGCCCGGCAGCAGAGGCGGCCGAGGAGGAGCCACCAAGTCAGGCCATGACAAGCGCGGGGGAGCAGTCTCCACCGGCAGTAGCGCACTCGCCTCCACCTCAGTCCCCTACTTCGGCAGGATAAGGGACACCTCCGCTCGAGTTTACTTCTTCGCCCACCGACATCAGAGAGTACGTGGACGCCTTCCACTATGGTGAGGAGGTACGTTTTCGTCGAGTGGACAACATCGTCGGCGACGGAGGAGCTCCTGGGCAGGCCACTCGCATCCTCGACGATCCAGAGTTGCTTCTCATCAGCGCGGAGGAGCTGCCCACATCCGCGGTGGCCGAGCGCAATGCCAATTGGCGGCGAGCGATGCTGGAGGAGTCGAAAGTGATCGAGGACAATGGGACTTGGGAGCTGGTTGATCCACCGGCTGGCTGTCAGCCGATTGGGCTCAAATGGGTCTACAAGGTGAAGCGGGACGAGCGTGGCGCCATCGTCAAGCACAAGGCACGGCTCGTCGCCCGCGGCTTCGTCCAGCGCGAGGGCATCGACTTGGAGGTCTTTACTCCGGTGGCGTGCATGGAATCGGTCCACCTACCATTGGCCATGGCAGCAGCGAAGGACTGACGCGTCCACCACCTCGACATCAAGTCGGACTTCCTCAACGGCGAGCTCGTGGAGACGGTCTTCGTCAAGCAAGCTCCGGGCTTCACCGTCAAGGGGGCAGAGCACAAGGTGCTCAGGCTGCGCAAGGCGCTCTATGGGCTCAGGCAGGCCCCGCGGGCGTGGAACACCAAGCTCGATGCCACTTTTGGGTGAGCTTGGGTTCACCCGCTGCGCCATGGAGCACGTGCTGTACACGCGGCGACGGGGGAAGGAGGAGCTCGTCGTCGGTGTGTACGTGGACGATTTGATCGTCACCGGAGTGCGAGCAGAGGACATCGACAGTTTCAAGCGTGAGATGGCGGCTTGTTTCAAGATGAGCGATCTCAGCGTGCTCTCCTACTACCACATCATCGAGGTGAGGCAGGGGAAGCAGAGCATCTCCCTGGGTTAGGGTGCCTACGCGGAGAAGCTGCTAGAGCGCCGCGGAATGGCGGAGTGCAAGCCGTGCGCGATTCCGATGGAAGAGCGGTTGAAGCTGTCCAAGCATAGCACAGCGGCGAAGGTGGACGTGTCGTGCTACTGAAGCATCATCAGCGGGCTGCGGTACCTCACGCACACTCGGCCAAATATCGCATTCGTGGTCGGGTACGTCAGCCGATTTATGGAGGACCCGCGCGAGGATCACTAGACGGCGGTGAAGAGGCTGCTGCGCTACATCAAGGGAACGCTCGATCAAGCGATCATCTTCCCCAAGCACGACAGCAAGGGTGGGCTGCGCCTCACGGTCTTCAGTGAGGCACCCCCCAAAACAAAGGAAGGTGAGCTGGAGCTCACTGTCTTCAACGATGCGGACATGGCGGGCGACATCGATGGGCGACGAAGCACCTCCGGTGTGCTCGTCTTCCTTGGAGCAGCCCTCATTGCTTGGCAATCGCTGAAGCAAGAGATCGTGGCGCTGTCGACGTGTGAGGCGGAGTACGTCGCAGCGGCCACAGCGCCGTGCCAGGCTGTTTGGCTGCGCCGGCTACTAGGCGAGCTGACCAGCGAAGAAGCTCACCCGCCAGCTTTGATGGTGGACAACCAGTCCACCATCGCCCTTGCCAAGAACCCTGTCCTCCACGATCGGAGCAAGCACATCGACATCAAGTTTCACTTCCTCCGGTACTATGTTGATGGAGGACAGATTGTCATCGAGTTCGTCGAGACTGGCAGAGAGCTCACTAACATCCTCACCAAGTCACTTGGGCGTCTACGGTTCATGGAGTTGAGGAAGATGATTGGCATGGATGAGGTCAAGGCTTCGGGTTAGCAGCAGGATTAGGGGAAGAATTGTAAGACATAATCCGCTGCTCTCAAATTCTCTCTTTGCTGTAGATTAGGATTAGATTTTGGTCAGCATGGCTGTCCCCTCCCTAGTGCTATAGCTTGTAAGGCAATAGGCCATCTAGTA